GCAAATGGTGGCTGCTTCCTCTTCCGGAGAACGATCAGTCTCACCTTAGAACATCAATCAAATATTTCAATCCATAAGTAAGTAGCTGCAACATTAATTTACCTGTATCCATAATTTGCGGTTTCATTACTCAACAACTGTGTGAATGAATGGATGGATGAAGGAAGGAATGAGGGAATAAATGAATAAATAAATAAACACACAAGCGAATTAAGGAAAAGTGAAGAGGGAAGAGTGATGAAAGAAATGAAGGTAATAACTGACCTTAAAATTATCCGCCTTGTTTGCACACTAGTCCACTATCATATACCTACTTTTTGAGCGCTGAAAAGAGGTTGACCATGCTAAATCTACATCAAACTAGTCTAACTGGTTTAGATTCACCCATAAAATCTCGAGTCTGTTATCCAAGAGTGCCGTTTTCTGACATAACAGACTTTAGCACAATCACGTGACAGCCACTGTCAAACGGATCAATACTGGCATGGCAAATCGTTAACGCGCTTTGGGTTCTACAAAAAATATGGTGGGTTGTGGACACCATAAATACTACCTTATCTGGTCCTTTGTGTTACTCGGCAGTTGGCTTCTGGTGCTTAGTACAAAGTTGCAGTCGGAAAATTACTCTTACCATTGGGGTACGTGGTCGCCGTTACCCTTAACCTGTTCCGTAACATGTGGTCGAGGACTTCGTTGTCGCTGGCGAAAGTGTTTGGATTCTTACGGCAACGTTCAGTCTTCTGTAGATCTTTGTAGAAATCCGGAGGATTATGAATCAAAGGCAGAGACTTGTACAGTATGCGTTGTTAGTTCTCGATGTCCCACTCTTCCGGGCTGGGGTGCTTGGGGCTCGTGGGGTTTATGCATACCAAGAGATCCAAATTCCACAAAAGCCTGTCAGCCTGGGATAATGATCCGCTCTCGCAAGTGTGATAGTCCTCCTCCAGAACCACCACCTCGTGATATACCTTGTATGGGAGTTAGCCGCCAAACTACTGATTGTTTGTATAACTGTGGTGAAACTAAGGCTGGAACTACCGCACATGTGGCCCAACGACTGCAGCTTCAAATGGAGGAGGACCATCGAAAGGGTTTGACAAATATCCGCAATGTTTTACGACGTCGACCTGGAGATCATGTTCGAATGACCTGCGAAACACCAACTTATAGACTGGCCAAGCGGTTGACTGAAAATACAAGGCGGAAGCTTGCTCATGGAGCACTGAGTGCCAAAGAGTTGAAAGTAACTTGGTACAAAAACGGTGAACCTCTGAAAATATATGAACCACAATCACGCATTAACAGGCTCATGTATTCTTTGGGTAGAAGCAAAAAGAAGGAAAAGAAAGGCCCACCAAATGAGCTACTGGATGAGACTGACCGGTGGAATAAATTACTCCCCACATCAGATGCAGAGCTGGAAGATGTGGATTTGTTGTTTTTAAGTGTGACTGAGGGAGATCAAGGATTTTACACCTGTGAACTGAGCTACGGCAGATTCCGTGGAGTGGCAGTGTACTACAGCCTCCTCATTGTTGGCATCAGCTATGAAGGCCAATCAGCGGATCCCTTTTACCTGCATTCCAACTTGGGTTATAACTATGCACTTCAAAACGCTCCAGTATGGTTTGAAGCGTCCGAACTTATGTGGAAGTTGAACGCACATGACTTTGCCCGTGGTATTGCGATTGCACGTCCAAGACGGATAATGAGAATGGCCGGTCTTAACCAAACACATCAAGGCACATGGAGATGTTATCTGATCATACCCAGCCCAGGTTCTTTTGCGAATATAAACGCTCCACGCATGCGCGTGGCCCGCCAGATCCTGGTAAATGAATTCCAACTGAAAGTGAAGAAAGATGTTGACAGCCTATGGCAGTTAGCTGAATTTCCGAAAACTATGAAGACACTGCGAAACGTAAATACAGGCTGTGCTCTATGTGCTCTATTTCTTTTCTGGTTTCTCTTGCTTACTGTGTGGGCTGCCAAGCGGTGGATTGAGCGCTCGCTGACCGTTTCCCAGAAAAAAGCAATTGTACAAGAAATTGTGGATAATGAGTGTCGACTTTTGTTAACGGCACGTAAGCGAGCTGGTATCAATAAGGAACGACTACTACCGCTCATATTACAAGAACATCAACGCTTAGAGTTGGCCAATCGTCACCTAGTCGAGAGGCTGTTAGATCTACAGCTGTTGCGTGACCTTGATGAGAGGAAGAAGAAAGCAGGTGATGGTGAGGAACAAAAACTAGAAACCGATGAGAAGGAGCAGGACGAAAAAGATGAGGTTACTGAGGCAGAAACTGTGCATCAAGACTCAAGTACGGGAAATGACGTAACCGAGCGCGTCGGAAGTATTCTAAAAACCACTCGGAAAACATTAGAACTACGGCCATTCACCAAATTTTCGCTTCATAAAAATAGGGATTCGGTAGCAGCCAAAATGGACCAGTTTGGACGTGTCCACCGGGCATCCAAATTACGAAGTTTAGTAGAACGCAAAAGTCAACATCTTAATCCAAAGGAAATGGATCAGAGTTTGCGAAGGTCCACAATCTGGTCACAGAAACGAACATCTATGTTAAACACAATAACTCAGAGACACTCATCAACTCCCAATACTTCTGACCGAAGCGAAGAGCTCGATTTACCGACACCTGAAAGCGTGTCCGGAATGCCAAAGTTGAATCGCACGTCAAATCAACAGACGAGGTCACGGAGGATCACACAGCTGATTGCCTCAGTCGACGAACAAGATTCGGTGGAGCAGGCTCACGCAGATCACCCTCAGCGCAAATAACGAAGTAAACCAATTGCACTGGTTGTCTAACGGTGTACTAAAACGTTCAGTCCATATTCAACGTTGGAACAACATTACTTTATATTCCCTGTTGTGGTGTATTGCGTTACATGGCACGTTCACTATAGTCAACTTATGCTGCACGCCACATGACGAATGTGCAGCTGAGTACCATCAACATTGGTGTTGCTCTACTTTTCGTTTTGCACAAATGCACTATCAATAAACGTGCGCGTTTGTTCACGCCGTCTCAAGGCTTCTTCAAAATGCTTGGCATGGCTAGGTGACAAAGGTCATGGTTGTACGGCAGTGAAGCATCGGTGCTGATCACTGATGTCATGCTGCTGCTGATGATGATGATGATGACGATGATCATGATCATGATGAAAGGTCAACATTAGTTTGGCTCTTCCTAAGAATAAAGAAACTCCCGGATATTCAGTTGGGCTAATTGATGCAGAACATGCGCACTTTCCAGAGTTAAGAAAGTTTAACCTTAAGACGGACGACAAATAATGGTGGTATGAGAATTAAATTAATCGCATTTGTCAATAGATGAATTCATATAGGATAATATTCTGGTTGAGCGGGTGCACTTGACAGACTCTCACGGCGACCGTAGAAACTTCCAATTTTTGTCGGTATCCAGCTCACCTTGAACGTTTCGTACAGCCTGACTTTTCCCAAACACTTGAAGAAACATCATCATCAGTAGCAGCAGTTGTAAAAACGGCGTACTTGCTGTGAAGTGGTTCTAGCCGCCTTGGTAGTTGCACGAAACTGAATTTTCTTTCCGTGGTAAATTACTCATAGAGTTCCTGAAAATTCCGATAGCCCACGTAAGGTTTCTTCCATCTTGATACTCATCAGAGGTAGTCGTTCGCAAAA